ATTGCAAGATCTTTCGCTATATACTCTAAATTGCTAGGGTTATCTATTCTTTTTGATAAGATTTCATCTAGTGTTCTACTGTCTATGTATCTTCTATTTCTATCGCCAAAGCCTCTTATATGTTGTATTAATTCTGTGTCACCTGGAAGGCCCAGTCTGCACTGTACTTCTGTTTCTATTTTAGCTTGTTGTGTTTCCATTTGCTTAGCAGTACACATAGAATTTTTTATCTATTTTTCCTAATTAGGATGATATCATCGTTTGTGTAATATGCTGTGTTTATTATTGTTTTGTTGTCAGCTGACCACGTGTTTTGTCTGTCTGTTTTTAGGGTCTAGGGTGTTTTTCCACTTTTCCGAGAATAATAATAAAATTTTGCAAACTTTTCAAGTCAAATTAAACTACTTAAAAACCTTATTGAAACTTGCTATATCTATCTTCATATATTGCTAGAAAGCTTGTATGCTAAACCTTCCTTTAATATCTTGTATAGGTTTATCCAATTTGTTTTATTCTACTTCTATATGCTACTCTTGTTTATTAAAGTTTGCTGAAGATTGGTTTTCTTACTGTTGCTTGTTGCTACCTTATTTCCTTTCTTGTTTCTATATTGGTTAGCTATATCTCTATGTTTCTATCTTTCCTCTTAATGCTCTATGTATTGCTTGCTTGTGTGTTTTAGTGTTATTTTATGTTTTTGCTTCCTGTGGATTTCGGTCGAGGGATCTATAGGGAAGAGTTGATCAGTAAATGTATTATAACAAAACTTAATTTTTATTAAAATAACAATAATATTATCTATAATAAATTTAATATTAATTATTAATAAAAGTTCATATTTTTTATATAATTGCTTTTTTTTTTTACAAGTTATAAAAATAGCTACTTTATTTTTTTTTTAGTTTATTAAATATTTTTTTCTTCTTTCTAGTTTATTAAATATCTCATTCATTCATTTTTTTTAGTTTATCAAATATTTCTTTTCTCTATAATCATTTTATAAACATATTGCATAATAAATTTAGAACAAAAAATAATAAAAATAATAAAATTTTTTTGTTAAGACAAAGATTTTCTTATAACACTTCTAGACCTTTAACACAAGATTCTTCAAAAAGTTCTATGATGCAATTAGATCCTTCTTCTGTATATTTTTTAGATGAACCAATAGAGTATTATGAAGAATCTAATAAACATTTTTTTGAAGAAGACAATATTAGTTATCATGATAAACCTGCTATATATTCTTCAGAATAATTAGATAAAGATATAAATTCTTGTAAAGAGTTTATTTCTGAAACTTCTAGCAATAGTATTAACTCTTGTGATGAATTAAATAATGATAGTTAACAAAGCTTTAGATCTGAATAAATTGTCACAAAATATTAATGAGTTTTCATCATATTTTGAAAATACAACTACTGTATTAATGTTTAATTGAATACAAAAGAATAGTATTAGTAATATTTAATTTAAATTTATATATAAATTTTAAAACTTAAACTATTTTAATTAAAAATATTAATTATTTTTAAAAAAACTTTAGCTACCAATGCATATGATAAACTTGTTGAAATATTTCATTATCTTCAATTCAATCTTAATCATGTAATTAAGAATATTCGATCCTTTAAACATTAGAGGCAAAGACTTTCTCTTATATCAATATACTCAAGATTTATTAATATTTCAACTATGAAGATTTCTTCAAAGTCTAATAAAATTAAAAAATGCTATTATTTGTCAATTAAAGACATAATTTGGAATGTTTTAAATAATCTTTCTTTAATGTGGCATATGTATTTTGGACCTAGTTAAGAAGTTACTCATAAATCAGAATACTGGCATAGTAACTTATAGTTCAAATCTTCTTTATATGATCAAAAATCAATAGCTATTAATAATAGTAAGTTATTATTAATATTTAGTAATATTTATTAATTTTTATTTTATTTATTTATTTTTTAATTTAATTTTTATTTTATTTATTTTTTTTAATTTAATTTTTATTTTATTTATTTATTTTTTTTAATTTAATTTTTATTACTTAAACAAAACTATTAATTTTTAGAAATTTATAATACAGAAAATTTTATTTATTATCAAGAAAATGGTATAAGATTGGAATGAATTTGAGCTATAATTTTAGCAAATAAAATTTTAAAACTAAAGGTTCAAAAAATTATTAAATTTAATGAGCTATCAAAAAATATTCAAAGCAATGACTGTCAAGTTAGTTTTCAATTAGAAGAGATATGATTAGTTGACCAAGTTATTAATAACTTGGTTAACAACCATGAAGTTATTGGGCATGCAAGTGTTACTACCTTGTCTTATAACAAAGAATATTATTCTTATTATATAAATAAGATTATTTATAAATTTAAAAGCTATTGAAAGATTTGAAATATCTTATTAAAATATTAATATCCTTTTAAATATTCAACAGTTTTTTTACCACTAAGTAAAAATATACCAGTTCTCAAAATCTTTTTGGATCTTTATTATGATAATTTTGAAACATATCAAAATGTATATCATTTACTTGGTAGTGTTTATATACAATTTGGCAACATGCCAATTTCTTTAAGGCAGCAATTAAAAAATCATTTTGTGTTGAGATTTGTACTCTTTGGTAGATTATTTGATGAATTTATTAGACTATTTATTATAGAAATAAAGTCTTTAGCAAGTGATCAAATAATGAATATTTAAGGCCAAGAGTACTGAGTTATTGCTAGTCTTGAAGTAGCTATAGCAGATCTTCTACAAGAAAATGATTTTGCTAGTGTTAAAAGATATAGTGCAAATAAGAGATGTTGAACTTGTCAAGTTTCTAAAGAAAATTTAACAAATAATAATTTGGATTTTAAAAACTTGGCAAGATATCAGCACATTATCAATAGCCAATTTTATAAAATTGCATCAGCTGAATCTATAAAAGAGCATAAATTAGTTGCAACTAAATATAGGCTGTGCAATAGTATTTCAATATTAAGTCAACTAATATGGAATTAGCATCTTTAAACACTTCAAGACATTTATTATGCAACTGCTAGAAAATAATAAGGCTTTTAAAATTAACGTTAATTTATTTTTACCAAAAGCTCAAAAAGAATTTATTAAAGTATAAAAAAATTTTGAATATCCAGTATACTAGAAACATTTGCCTAATCCTATTAGTTATCATGAAAGTTTTATGATGTCTGACTATCTTCATCTAGCAATGATTATGCCATTTATTCTTAACTGCTCTTTAAAGACTTAGCATATTAAAAGTGCTGAATTAACAAATATTCAGCAAAGAATAAATACTAATCATACTGATTTGGTTTCTAAATCTTTAACTAAATGTTGGGTTTTAGTTGCAAAATCAGTACAATTAGTATTTAAAAATTATATTTAACAGAAAATTATGAAAATCTTTAAAAATGTTTGAAGACAGAAAGTCAAATATTAACTCAAGTAATTATTATTTATATATTTATATTATGTATTATTATAATATGCATATAATTTATAATAAGCCTGTTAATAAATTTTTTTTGTTAGGTTTTTGCTGAATTTAAGAATATTTCAAATCTTTATATAAATAGCTATTTATCATTACATACACATACATATAGCAAGCTTGTAAATATTTCAGTTGGTACTAAAGAAATAGTTCACTAAATTTTTAAAAACATGGTATCATAAACAAATTGCAAGAATATTGAACTAGATTTGTTAAAATGAGATACTATATTATTTGCTATTCAGCATCTTATTAATAGTAGTATTGATATTAGAATCTCAAAATCTAATCAAGGCTTTGTCAATATTTTACAAGATCTTAAAAAATTATTTAGTGATTGGTTTATTACCAAAGCTAATAATTTTATACAATTAGATCATGAAGATATTGATATTAAAGATTATTATTATTTGCTATTTTTTTTTTTTGTTATTACTGTTTTAATTATTATTCAATAACTATATACTATACAGAAACTTAAATTTCTTAATATGCAGTAACTGTATAGTAACTATGTAATTACAATTAAATTTAATAGTAACTATGTAATTATTATATTGTTACTATACAGTTATTGTATATTAAGATATTTAAGTTTCTGTAAAGTATTATTTTAATATATATATATATACTAATATATATATTTACAAATTGAATATATTTTTAATATTAAATTAAAAAAAAATTTGGTTACAAGATCTTAAGAAAAAAGTACTATGCCAAATAAATAATTCTAAATTTAAATCAGAATTATACCTTTCATACTGTGATTTTGGGCATATGGAAGCTCTTATTAATACAGGACTAAGCTTTTATGAAGGCATAACATATCTGGCAGAGAATAGTTATAACATTATAGAAAAGTATTCACTACATATTGGTGATGTTATAACTATTCAAGAAGAAGAAGAAGAAGAAAGCTATTTTATACTGAGAGCAATTTTCTGTTATAAAGACAATAATAATTATTTTTATCTATTTATTATAATTAATTGGCTTGAAAAAACTAATCAATCTAATAGTTTACTAGAATGCCTAATTTACAAAATTCAATCAGAAAAAAATTGAGATTGGTAATATGTTTATCTATTATTAATAGTTAATTAAGTAAAAAAAGCTCATTTTGTTCATAAATGTTCAAGTGAATATATAATTAGCCATGATTTAGAAAATATGTATTATTTAAAAAATGTTTATTATTTTATTGCTATTTAATTAATATTTGATGTCATATTATATTTTGTCAATACTAAACATATAATATATATATAGTTATTGAATGTGTAGCATACAATAACTATAATATCCGGTGTGTATAATTTGTATATATCATACTGGAGTGTGACCTATTAGTCAATTTACAAATCAGCAAACCCATATAGATAAAACTAGGTTTGTTTTAAAGTACTCTTTAAAGTAATAATGCTTATTTTCTTTAGTTCTTACAAATTAATTAATATTTTTTATCTTAACAAGTAAAAACCAAAACTGTTATGAGATTTGTTATATTATATAAAATGCAATATGGTATTGATATATATATATATAACTAATTTACAGTAATTAATTTTATTTGCATTCTTTTTCATTATTTTTTTTTATTATTTGTTGAACCATTGTTTTTTTATATTATTGCTATGCTTTTTTTTTTTTTACCTTTATAATATCTTCTATAGTTTTAGATATTTCTTTCTTCTACAAAGAGCTACAGCTAAACACAATAAAGAAGCAAAATATGAAAAGTATAAATTCAAACTTGAACATAATAAAAAAAGTTCTACAGTTCTTTATGATTTGAATATTCTTTCTACTAGCTAAAATGCTTTTGATACACTCTATAGTACTTTGCTTTCTTTTTTTTTTTATATTTTCTTTATAACCTTTTTGAAATTCTATTCAATAGTTACTCTGCAGCTTTCTGGTTTGACAATGTTCTCTCTATAGTACTTTGATATGCATTTTATAATTCTTTTATTTTTTTTTTATAGTTTATTGACATTCTTCTTAATATCTTAATTCAATTAACAGTTCTTTAATATTTTCTTTGAAGTTTCTTGATTAATATTTTTTAACATTTCTAATATTTTTTTAGTTTATTGAAATTCTCTACAATTATTTAACATCTTATAATAGTTTTTAATATTGTTTCTACAGATTATTTAATATTTTCTTGACATTTACACTAATATTTTCTAATGTTTTATTTAGTTTATCAAAATTCTCTCAACAATTATTTAATGATTTTATGATAGAAGTATTACTTAATATTTTCTTTAAAGTGCTTTAATATTCATACTAATATTTTCTAACATTCTTTAGTTCATCGAAACTCTTTACAATTATTTAATAATCTTGTAATAGTTTTCAATATTGTTTTTATAGATTATTTAATATATATATTTTATTTTTGAAGTTCTTTAACATTCAACTAATATTTTCTAATGTTTTTTAGTTCATCAAAATTCTCTATGATTATTTAACAATCTTGTAATGAATTAGATTTAATAATATTTCTAGAAAGTTCTTTGATCAAATTTTCTAATATTCTTTTGTTTATCAAAATTCTTTCAATAGTTATTTAATAATCTTATAATAAAAGTATCACTAACATTTTCTTTGAATATTTTCTACCATTTTTTAGTTTATCGAAATTCTCTATAATTATTTAACAATCTTTCTATTTTTAACAATGTTTTTATGAATTATTTAATATTTTCTTTGAAATTCTTTTGACATTTATACT